ATTGTATATTTGTTCAAGTAGGTAATATTCTTCACAAGTAATTTAGCAATCTAGATAAGACATGTGTGTATTCAAGCATTTGATTCCGAAACTCTACTATACCTACTATATATTATTTGACTTAATTGTTCATGTCTTCCAAGCCTCAATACTCGACACAATGAATACAACCCGCGACATAATCACAACCATGTTAGCTTTCTTGTCTAGACTCACTTTCCCAAGCAAGATGAATCTGCGAGACAACGCACTGAGCATCGTCATTCTACCATGAAGATACTTTAAAACTTAATCAGCATTAGTGAACGCATAGGCCTTTACAACATATACTAAACAATGAATTGAAGAAGGTTTGGGTTGCGGAACTTGATGACCGAACAAAGATGAAGGCTTTATTTGAGCACTTTGCCAAGTTCAAAGTCATTGTTGGTGATGACGCAGACGATAAGCAGAACATTTGCTCATGGTCGCGGGTCAACCAAGATGAGTATGATTGCGCTAATATTGTCTATTTTGCACATCCAGGAAGCTTTGCACTCATCGAAGCAAACCTTGACGTCATACAAATTGATGCAATGTACAAGCATAACAATTTTTATATGCCACTGTTGCACATTATAGATATCATCAACTGCAATAATACGTTCAACATTACATACATCTTACTTCAAATGAACAAGAGAAAATCTTATACAATACTATTGGATTCCTTTCAAGAAAAAAATCTTATACAATACTATTGGATTCCTTTCAAAGCGTCTTGAGTGGCTTCCGGTGGTACTTAAGTGCTTTGTCATTGATTACAATAGATCCTTGAAGGTGGCTTTGAGTGCGCCTTTTTCTAATATATTCCAACATCAATGCATTTAACACATCAACAATAACGTCAAGATGCAAGCTATCAAGCTTTCAGATGTTAGCAAGGTTAAAACAGATGCGAGGAAGAAGATCGATGACCTCCGCATCAACTTCTTATCCCATTGAAACATTTGTGTGAGCTCCCAAATAGAGGACAACTCTTGTGTCTTGCAAATATCTACAATCATACAACATATATCACTGACATGCCATACTCACACACATACATATATGCAACAAGATCGTACACATACACAAAAGTTTCACAAACAAAAATTCTTGTGAAAGCTCCACTGACATAAAACACAAATGTCACATGTAGTCAAGCCAAGCCCACTACACAACTAGTAAAATCCAAATTGATGCTAATAAAAAACCATAGCTAATCCACTTAGAACTAGTTCCAATGCTGAAGGTTCAACTCAAAAAACTGAATGTTCTTTGGATCATCACTAGATTATACTATTCAATTAGCGAGAATGAACACTAATCTAAATTAATTTGACTAGAGATAACTCTAATCCTACTAATGCTAATTCAACTAATTCTGACATATATGAACATGACATCCGGGTGTAATGTCATCTTATCAAACAGATGTATGCCAAGCATTTGGAGCTTGTCAAATACCTTGAAGGAGCATCAATTGCCACACTACAAGAAGTGATCAAAGTGCTTTTACCAATTCTTTCTTGACTTTGGATGCAAAGTTAGCCCTACGCGTAAAGGATGACATCATAAGTTGAAGCTTGCCCTTATTACTTGGCGCGTCAATCACTTGTATGACGTGATAAAAAACATCATCAATGCAAACACAACGCCTTGAGCATGATGCTGCTATCTAAACTGACATGACGAGGATGACAACTAATTGCAAACTGCATGAGTTTTGATGACAACTAATTGCAAACTGCATGAGTTTCAGCGACTCCAACGCAAGGTCACACACAAGGAACTTCAACAATTCAAAAAGCACCTAGTACTTGTTAAGTATGAAGAGTATGATGAATCTCATGCATGTATTGGAAACTTCACAAGCAGGTTTATTGACAAGTGATGATTATTGCTCAAGAAGTTTAGTGGCCTTTGTAAGAAACAAAATAGAAGTGTTCACTCAAAACTTTTAGAGTTACATTAATTATTTTTCCAAATATAGATTTAATAGCTAAACTTAGTCATAACTAATTAAACTTAGTTATAACTAACTAGACTTAGTTATATATAAATCAAACACGATCAATTTTTTTGGCTACTTCTAACATTTACTTCACACATACAATAACCGGTCTTACAATACTGTGCGATCATCTTTCTAAGACGTCTTTCACAGAGGTGCTTGATCTCACATCGTCAGAATCATGTAGGAATAGTTGCAAGCGGTCAACCACTGCTTCAAATGGTGCATCAAGGAACCATGTGCGACCTCTGGAGGTGAAGAATAAGCCAAAAGCCAAGTGCAATGGGTTTGGTGTGCAGAAAGGCTAAGGATGGGCATCTGGGGATGATTTTGGGTTCAAAGTTCATCATGTAGTTTTCACAACATCATGTTGCATCTCTACAACCATTGCATCAAAAAAATTGAGATTTAAAATGAAAGTAGTCTAGATCTATGTGACAACTAATATGAAGTTTCATGTAATTGCGATATGTGGTTGTGTTGTTGTATGGGTGGATGGGTGAAGATTTGGATACATGGGTGGATAATGTGGGGATGTTTCCGAAACACCATATCTCTAAAGTTCAAGCTCTTGCTCAAACATAAGCCCAAATGTAGACTTTCATCTCATGTTTTGGTTTTTCTCGCTTACACCTAGCTTATACAAATATCATGGACGCGCCGAATAGCCATTTATGGGTTATGTTTATGTTTTTACTAAAAATATGATGCAGATTTAGGGTTGATTAACAATTTTTGCTTATGATAGATCAAATCAAATGCAAGTTAAAACCTTCAGAATTGAGCAAAAATTAGATTCAGAATGTTTTACACTTGAAATAAAAATTGGATAAAGTTTTCGTTAACACATTCTGTTATCATTATATTTCATAAAAAAAAATTTCAATGCAATACTGTATAATAAAGTAAAAACATATAATTGTATAATATCCTCTGCACCTCTTCCAAAATTTTTATTTTTTAAGATATGTGTGATTTATTGCAAATTAAATGAATTCTATGATCTGTAAGATAAAAAAAATGAAGCAGAAATAAAATAAAATTTTATTTAAATTAAACAAGAAAATTCGCCAGAGCTTTCTTGATCAATGAAACACTAATTAACTTAACCAATAGAGGTTAAATAATTCAAGTTAACTCCAATTTTGAACTGATTTTAACAAATTATAATTATTACAAGGAGAGTTCTAGAATAAAATCAAACATATGTGACTTTGTAAACTAAAGGTAAATCGTTAAGAAAACACGATAGAATAAAATTTCAATTTTTTTTTGTTGATTAAAAGCTAATTTAATCCATATATTGTTCTATGTCATGATGAATTCATGCGAGATCGGATATCTGTGATGCAATTTCATGGTTAGTAAAGTATATCTACATCAATGTTTTACAACGTAGAATGGAGAAACGTGATACTTTAAATAAGTGATCGCCGAGATAGAATGTGAGTCATGCGATGTAAAGTAGAAAACTGAACTACGTTAGGAAAATGTTGAGAACAAGATATCCTCCGCGATAAATCGAAGCTAATGTGGAAAAAAAATTGATAATTGATGAACTGTAGGAAGTAAGAAACCTGTCTTGATATCAATACATTGCCACGATTAAATCACTGATCTCATTTTTGCCAAATTCGAAGATATGCTGCTATCCTGGGTAAATTGTTGAAAAGCCTTTTTTAGGATGTACTGTAGTCCATGAGTCTCCGATTCCTGTACGCCGATTACGATATGACATCTTTGTTTCATCGGCCTTGGCTGCAACTAGCGACTAGCGACTGTGCCTTGAACCGTCTGCGTCATGGAATGTGCAGTGCCCAGATCCACGAGGCCGACGTCAGACAGGTCTGTACATGCGGCTGAAGTGCGAAACCTTATACTGTCAGTCACTATATATCCCACAAACCATGCGAGCGGAGATTTCGGGAACTTCGGCTTGCGAAAGGATGTGACCCGCATTGCCAGCTCTGGCAAGTCAATTCGGTAATCGGCTCCACGCCTCATGGATTTCAACTAGGTCGGACAGAGTCTCGCGAGAGCAGAGCCTACGTTTGTATGACAACCTCCAGCTTCTTAAAGGAGAATACCTTCCTCTAAACAATGTGGTTGGGTGCAAGCGCGACAATGCACATGGCCACGGCAACAGACGTTCACAGGGTGCGAGAGGTGAAAGACAAACGCGGGAAATGGAAGCTTTGTCGAGAAAGTGAGAAAAAGAGCACTTCTGATTTGTCGCCTTAGTATCATCCTTAGGATGTACACATCGACATCTAAGGTAGGGATGCCCTCGTGAAAAGAGGCAGCGACGATCAAGATGCATAGTAAAAGTAAGTTTCTCGCCGTTCCTATTCTATTACTGTAAATTCCCTCCATACTTACTATTGAGCAAGACCTACAAGCAGGGCAGAAGAGATTGGCAATTCCCAAAGGGTCAATTACTACAGTTCACTACTACGGACAACTTAAGTTGGTAAAGATAGGAGATGACCCAGATCTGCGGGTAGGGGTCTACTGAACTCTGACAGTTTCGAGGTCTACACATAAACACGATGTCCCCAGTTGTAAACCACTGAGAAAGTTGAGAATGAGTACAAAGCAGAGGAGACACAGCAAAAGAGATGTCTAACATACGACAAAAGATATAGATCTTTGGACTACATCCAACTCAGGACAAATGTTGCCAGAAACAAGAGGCCTGAAATACTCAGTCAAATGTTCGGAATTCACTCCAATTGATATACACACGTACAGCATTAAGCATCGCACCAGAACACATTGCCTCAAATCAGTAGGCAGTAATGAGATCCCGTCTCTGCTCCAGATATTACAAGCGCTGAAGTTCAGACTTACGTTACTGCCTGTAAAAAGGTAGAACCATCCCAGAGGAGAAAAGGGGAGGAATTAGAATAGCCGTATCATGCCAAGATTCAAACTTAAAATCAGCACATATGGTACAGAACAAAGCCAGCTTCTACAAATGTTGCATAAAGCCTCATAACGAAAGACGAAGTCACCCGTAATTTATTTTTTGACGCCTCTCGGCTGCCTGGAACACTCTTTAATATGCTAAATAGGGAGCACCGTGGCACAAAATCACCACCATGCAGTAAATTTCAACCAGAGCTAGGTGTCCACATACCCTAGGAAAGCCTAAGAGCGTAAAAGGCACACGTTTCTAATCATGAAGAAGATAAGGATACTCCACTTGAAACGTAACGAGCAAAAAATGATGAGTTCTGGAACGTTTCCAAGGGACCGCTTTGTAGCTTTCTTTGACATTCTACAGATTCCTTCTGCGTACAGTCAAGCTTGACGTCATGCTCATGTCAAGAGATCCGCTTGACATCCATTACCTGTTTCTGCGAATCCCAGGAGCCGTGGGGTTCCCCGGCCATATCATGAGCCTTAATGGGCAAAAATTACAAGAGTAACACTTCAGCTGCTGGAGATCACAGGGCGAGTGTTCCCTGGTAGTGCAATCTGCTTTACGTCTCCACGAGGAGACCGAAGGCAAACAGTTTCAGTTGCTGGAGACCTTGGGCTTCAAATATTTGCCAGGTGAAACAATCTGCCGTCCACCCAAGAAAAGTTCCAATAAAACGCGTTCAGTACTCTAGACACGTTCTAGTTTGTATATTGTCCGCAAAGACGAGATTCCAGATATAAAGCTGTTTAATGGATTGAAGTGAAGCACGACACTTGGTACAAAAATAGTCAGTGCACCAAGTAAAGTGCAGGCACTTAGGAGTTCGATGTATGATGACCAGTTGGAGTCATGAGAGCGTTTGACAATGCTTGTATTTGAAATGGAAGACTACATGAATTTCGTATGGATGCATAGGGCTCCTCCGAGTCGTTTGACTATCTAGTTTACAGGATTCAAAACTCAACATTGCATATTTACAGCGAGAGCACTTTCTTCATCTGATATGATGACAGAGAAGTACAAATGTGCTGCGAAACCAGCAATTCACTTAAATAAATGAGACAGAAGGGCATCTGCCGCATATTGTTTCCTGATCTACTTAACCTCCCTTGCACCACCACAGGTCAGGCTCGTGAAGTCAAATTCATCACGACTAACTCCTCACTTGATCTCAAAATTTGTAAGGACACGGAATCAATGACTAAAGCTTCTGCCGGCTTAGTTCGGTCGTCTCTATTCGTGAAACTAGTTTACATGTTTGTCAGGACATGATAAATTTATGAATGCACCGTTCGCACTTGAATATGGTGTGTCGATGCAGAACGCCAAATGGGCTGTCTTCCGCTTTGAACGAGCGCAACTTCTTCGCCGTCCTTAACCATACCTCGCTTCTGTTCAACGTTCACATTGAAAACAGGAATAAGTCAGAACTCATCAACCCAATCACTGAGACAAACCCATCGAACGAGTCCCCACATGGGCAAGGTTATATACCTGCAAAATCGAGAGAGCCTTGGTAAAAGTTTCTTCTGCATCATCCGAAAATGTCATATGGAGAGCGCGTACACCTTGGTACAAAGCCAGTCGTGACTGAACCTTTTTACTGCAAAACCAACAAATCATGACAGAATTAAAGCCCACACGCACTAGTAGCCACCACATTGTGTTTCTTCCGCCTATCCGCAGGTCTACGGCCCAACGACACGCGACCTGCGAATTTCTTCTTCATGCGGCATTCCTAGGGGGTAACAACCAATTGAGTGAAAAAAAATCTGTGACATCTGACAAACAGGCCTTGCTGGGCGTTCACCAAAAGCAGAAAAACGTACTCATTCGTGAATGCAAACACAGTGCCTGCAGGGCGGTAGTGACTTAGAAGCATGGCCATGAATCCACTCCTCGTGAAGACAAGAATTGAAGTTCCCAGAGTATTCGACATCATGGTGGCGTGAAATGCGAACATTTCGCTCATGTGATTCTGCACAAGTGACTCCCTTTGTTATGCACATCTGACGACATTGGACATTCATGATCCTCTTCTCTGCATTTTAGTTCTTTGCTTTCCGTGATGATACCACTGAGTTTTAACCCCAACTACGAACTTTATCGCCTTTATCGTAATTTCTTCCGCCAATAGGCTGTCACAAACGTTCATATTTCCTTTGAAACCAGCCGGTGCCCTGAGCAGATTCAGAATTCAAAAAGTTCGCACGATACCTTAAACGCACGACCCAGATTGGCAGGAGGTCGTTCTTCAGGCAACGTGGCTTCAGTGCGCAGTGCTACCGTATGCATGACTTTCACAGCTTTCAGGGGATACCTGCAGAGTGTTGCACGAATAAGCTCAGGGACCCAGTCTAGAAGGTATACCAATCAAAGCTTACCGAGGTGAATCAAGAATTCTGAACTGCTTTACTTCGTAACGGCCCTGCCATATCCTGAAGATAAAAGGCTTGCCCTGGTTGAGCAATGATTAGTATTCTTAAAGAGAGATCTCATTGAAGGCTGCACCAACAATTGAATGGCACCTACGACATCTCGTAGAAATCAACGTCCACCATCACCACTGCATTTTCAAATCCCTTTAAAATTATCGTTACAGTTTTTATATAGATTTTGCTGCGGAAAGCATCCCTTAAAATCTTACGAGGAGGCTTTCAACCAACAAATTAACCAATTTCTGTGCCGGGGGCTCAAATGATACGCCTATAAAACAGGCTGAAGGATTTGAATACTAGGAGAAGACCTAAGAATGCATACTACTGGTGAACAGAGACTAGTAATGCAGTCATCGAAAATGCAGTCATCACGCGGAAAGATCAGACAGATCTTGAAGAAGACGAAAAAATTCAAGCAGAAAAACGTCTGAGAACCTTGTCCCCATCTACTCGCATATTCATACTTCAAGACCTTCCAACACACTGCACGATTATAGGACACAAACACGTTCATCTAGGAGTGAGTTCTTACTTCCCATGAGCTGTTTCCCCAGACAACATGACTGCATCCGCTCCCTCCCTCACCGCAATAGCAATATCCGAGACCTCAGCACGAGTCGGAGTGGGGTGATTGATCATGCTCTCGAGCATATTCGTAGCCACGATAACAGGCTTTCCCATGCTTCGGCATTTTTTAATAATCTCACCCTGCAGTTGGGCTTCCTCGTTAGCAGCCGTAACAGGAACTTGGAGGTGATGTACACACGTAACACGTCACTACGAGTTTCCATCAATATATCACTGATAGGACTGATCGATTTGAATATCGACACATTCCTGAAGTGATAGTGCTAAGCACAAGTAGAGTTTGAGTTCACTTTCTGGTTGATTCCGTACACCCTTTTCAGTATATAGATTTGCCAAAGTTTTTCATTCACAATTTCCACTCTCGGCCGTACTTCATTTTACTAAGCATCGTTATGCACCAATTCCAGCAAATCAGAGTGGGAAATACGGAAGTCCAAGGAACCTTTAGACTGGCCTTGACAAAATCAACTATATCAATTACAGGACATGAAAAAATTGCAGACTACATTGGACTGGCCGCATGGAAATACTGAACGAAGGTTTAGTCTTACTTGAAGTAGTGGAACCTCCTCAACTGGGAGCTCGGCACCAAGATCACCACGAGCAACCATGGCCTTTTATAGACAAGATGGAAACACACTTCAGTAGACAGTATTGTAACTTCAAAGAGCAGTAATCAATGTGATCTGACAAACCACAATTGACCACCACTATTTTCAAACGATATGTAGCTTAATTAACGAGGACGCATGGAGAAAAATCTATTCGCACAATTTACTTATAACTTATTGAGGAGCCATGCGCCAACTCAGAGCTTTCCAGATTTTGTGAAAATTTCAAGGTAGTCACGTAACTTATGCAGATTATAGCGGAGGGGAGACCTAGAAGAAGTAGACACATGTTTTGAGGAGCAACCCACCTGCTATGGTATCTAGACTGAAGATACAACTGTCCTCAGTAGCAATGTCAGCGTGGTAATGACCTATCATAGCCTGGCTGGACGGTGCTAGTGACTCTAATGAGGAGAAGAGGAAGAGGAGGGAGGACGGAACGGGTTCATGAAAGAACTAGCTGAGGAGTGAGTGTTGTAAAAATATGATTGATTATCAGATTATCACTGTGGAGTTTCCTATTTCCACGTATGGTGATTTGAAGTGAAGAGGGCCTTCCCAGACAAGAAAAACATAGTTCGATTGACGACTGTATATTTCAGAGCTATCTCACCCCATCAGAAGCTTCAAGAATAGACTGCAAGTTGGGGATCGAGTCTGCGCTCTCGATCTTCACGATGACGTAAATGTCTGCGTCGTTTGCTGTTCACAACATGAACAGTTAGTAACAAGTAGGTATTTCAAAATATAATCTTCATATAGCAGAGATACATTATTCTTTACAACTAGCAGCAGAAAAGCTGCGCCATATAACTTTTAAGTAACACTGCCTTGGTGACAATTGCACAAGACATTAAGCATAATCCCCAACTTATTCAAGATACGGCAGCTTTACTCATCAGAATATGGTTACCACTACACCACACCAAAAATTGATTTATTAAGTACAAGATTACCTTTGAGGTAGGCTTTTAGCTCGTGAACAACTTGCGCATCTTTCACAAAAGACAAGGCGTAGTAGTCAACCTTGTTTTCTACTCCGAACTTGATATCATCCCAATCTTTCTCTGCAAGAGTCATTTTACGGCTTAAAATTAACTCCAACGACAGTCCCAAACCTCATCGGGAGTGCGTTCTGTCAGAATTATCTTGGAAGTATATCCAAGCAGTATACGTGAAGACATGACTTCGGACCTTTGTTTTCTACCACGATGCAAAGCAATCATCAGGTACCTCCTGATGTCTTGACGCATGAAGTTTTGGTAAGGATGGAAGCGAATCCTTTAAGTACCAACTTTCGAACTTGTTACCTGTAATGGAAGGTAATGTTGCACTTTTCCCCCGAACATTCAAATGACGACGAGACTTCAGCTCTCCACCATCAACAACTTCACATGAAACTTCCTGTTCGGTCTTCGAAACCACTTGGAGAGACATCATTCCTCCTGGAAAATCGAAATTATGAGTTTACGAGTTAACAAGAATATTATTATGTATAGGACTATTGACGATTTTGAAAGCCTTCGAAAACAGAACAAAAACCCCCTGTGTTTGAAACGCAAGCCCTGCAACCCTTCAAGACGGAAGATGTAAAACAATACATCAACTTGAGAAACAGACTGAGTGCTCTAACCTCACTAAACATACGTGGGCCTTGATTCTAAGTTCTGTATTGTTGTTTTAGTAATAAATCGGGTGTTAGCTACTGATTTCAACAAAGCTACGACTAGCAGGCACACTGGTAGTACCCGAAACATGCTTACAAAAATAAATCTCTTTCAAGGTGGCCTCTATTCGGTGCTCTGCATTTGAAAAAGAGGACTGACCGTCAATCAGGATGATGTCTTCCTGATCCACATCATTGACGAAATCATCGTAATTCACACTGACACATTTGTCAGTTCCAACACCACGTTTAATGGTGAAGGTGAACTCGTCACCCTTTTCAAGCTTGATTGGTTGAGGCAAATCCCCACTCCTTACCTCAGGACCCTGCATGAAGAACAAAAGAAAGCACTGCATCTTTCAGAAAAGGAATGACACCCTCACAATGCATCATCTTAATTAGATATAAACCACCGAAAGCATATGGTTTCCTGACAATATGGCAACATGAAAGCAATCGACTGACATGTTTAAGCTAATAACTCTCAGCCACGAAATAGAGTGTCCAATACAACTCTTCTGTACTGGCCTTTGACTCAAGTCGCCGACCAAATAACGAGGGTCTTGACCATGACGCACCTTAGTGTCGAGCATGAGACCGATAATGTGGGCTCCAGCTTCCTCATTGTATTCGCGCACAAGATCAATAACCTTCTTGTGAGATGCATGGTCTCCGTGGGACATGTTCAGACGTGCAACGTTCATTCCTGCTTCCGCAAGCTTCCAAATCATTTCACGAGTGTTTGACGTTGGCCCGATTGTGCAGACGATTTTTGTTTTGCGCTGAAAACTGGGCTTGACCCACATACTTGCATGAGTTCGTCCTTCCCGGATAGCCATGAGATGTTCCATAGAAATATTTGGTTCACCCTAGACACAATCCAAATTTTCAGTCCATGATCTCAATTGTGCGTGCAAAATTTCCAAATGGCTAAGACAGGGTTAATTCCAGAACCAGTGGACAAAACTGAAACAACTATAAGCAGAAAATAGTTGCAAAGCCCATCTCAAAAAGTCTGCATACGTGGTGAAAGTAACTGAGAGGCAGCCTTGTTTCCAACACGAACTTGCACTGACCAGATGTTTAGTACCTGATTCTCCGAACTATAATAACCTCCATCGTCGGGTGATACGGGGATCAATTCAGCTTCATCTTTCATGCGACGGCGGGGCTGCACACTAGTGGCGTGAGCAACCCCAGCCCTACAAAGCTCGATTTGCCTCTCAGAACGCTTAACTCTGTGCGACGTGACTTTCTTCAGTCCACTATGGCGCCCAAAAACGGCCGAATCATCCCGCACCAATCTCTGGGAATTCGCAGATGACAGAGCTGAGAGAGCGCCTGCTCCAGAAAACACAGCAGTCGCCATTCCTGCTTCCCCGAGAAATCCTGCAAATGTGACAACGCGCCCACAAATGAGCAAGCCTTCTTCTAACCTCGCGGCCTTCTCCCTTCGTCGCAGATTTCGCAGCAGCTGCTGGAGAAGGAGATAATTTCGAAGACAAAGATCTAGAGGTAACGCCCGAACGTTCGGTCCATTCCAAGCAAGCAGCTGCTAGCGACGCGTCACAACTTCGCATTCATAAAATGTTCCGAGAATCGTTTCACCGGCCGAAAGGCGTCGATCGCTACGTGCCGTACCTCAGTGTTCTCGTGAAAAACTCCGCTGCTCCGCCCGCTCCGTCCGTTTCTGCTCGCGACGAAGATCCCGAGAACGAACAATCGAAATGAGCAACTTTCTGATGCGGCATTTTGTCCGTCCCGAACCTTTGAGAGTGCCACGTGAGCCCAACTGAGGTAAGGTGGTAGGTCAGCCAAGCTGGACGAACGCTCGCAAGTATTGCTGCAGTCGGCCCCTGACAACCGGTCGCACATTTAATGTCCCCACTTGCTACCCCGCCAAACCTTACAAACCGCGCCTACTTCGGCTACCACGTAAGCTCTCTCTCTACGTGGAATGCACATAGATTAGGATGAAGGCAACTGCAAGATGTAGTTGTTTTTCCTTGAGCTAAGAGATTTTTATTGCAAGAATTATGGTATACCTGGAAGTTCATGACACTTATCGTAGGATTATGATGATGTGGTAATGTACGTGATCAAATCCATGTATCATAACATCAATTTAGTAAGCCAAGAATTCTCCGTAACAAAGATGTTACCCCGATAGTTTATTTATTTCTGAATTTCAACTTTGGAGTTATGAAAAATTATAAATCTTACAAGTGTAAGAGAGTTTGTAGTAAGGCCTATCACATTTGATAACTTAAGGTGCTATTATCTATATTTTATATATATAAACTTTTTTCATTTTTTTTTGCATAGAATACTAGTTATTGCTATCAACAAGAAAGCAATACTTCAGATGATGCTGCGTCGGGTGATCGTACTGTTTTTTTTTATCAATTAACCTAGATACCATTTCGCTATCTTGGATATTATTAAGCATATTTTTCATGATGATTGCATTTATATCTAATCTCATATTACTTGTTTGAATTATTCTTGAATTGTTGACGTGTCTTTCCACTCTATTTGTATTGATTTTTCGTTACTATTTCTTTCTTATACCGTGGATTTCAAGGAAAAATATTCAGTTGATATAATATCATGTAAGGTTTAGATCATACATTGCAACTTGTTACCTACTGTACAAGTTCATGATTTTCCAGAACTAATTTATGGATACTCAATCACACAATGAGTTCTAGAATTTGAATAGATAATTTTTTTTTCTTCAACAGTTGATATCTCTCAACTTTGCCCCCATTATTTAGCACGTTTTCTCTATTGTGATTTTCTTTCGTCTTCAATACATTGTTTGAATAATATTCTTTTACTTCAATTTAATACTTTTGCCCTTTTTATTAACTAATATAAGAAAGAAACAGGGTGGGTAAAAGCCTTTTATCAGCCTTTTATGGAAGGCTGATAAAAGGTTCTGTAGATTCAAAAGAAATTTACAATAGGTATATTAAATTCAATTTTTTCATATTATTCAAAAATCTTGCATTTATTGATAGTGACTTTGAACTTTGCTTATGAACGTCCAATGTGTAACATGGTTATGCTAGGAACTTTTCATTCGATATGAAGTACTCAAATATCTATGTCAAAATTAATTGTATCCATATTGGATGAAGATTTTATATAAAATTATATTATCTTTGACTATAATTTGCAGATAAATGATGAAGTGGATAACAAAATATGATGGAAAAATAACACTCTCAATTGAGAATGGAATAATTTCAGTTGAATTTGTACATCTTTTAAGAGTTTTACTTATAAACATGTGATCAAACAACATATGTTTATTAAATTTTGTTAGGTGTATTCATTTTATCTAATTCAATGTGACATTAGGACTTCGGTGTTTTATTGCAAAGTTCAAGCTGGTACCTTGGATTTTGTTTTGTCTTCCTTTCGTTATCCACTTGGCACCGTTTTGCCATAGCGATAGGTTTTCTAAAATAGCGTTCTCAACAATCAATGTGCTTATCCATAACGTGTTCTAACTTTTTTTTTCCACTTGTCCGGTTGGTCGTCTTCAGAAGCAATAGACGAACGCTTTTCTAAGAGGGCTTTGGAAGGGTTTAGGACAACAAATGTTGTGCGTCTATGTGGTCTGGACATGGCCAGGACGGAGGCAGCAGGACAATACGGATTTCCGTGGGCAGGTCATCGGTGGATAAGCGTTAGTGTGGACGAATTGCTCGTTGTTTGCTGATGAATTTCAGGCTGGTAGTCCACACTCATGACAGTTTCGCTGTGATTCTGTGAGGAGGTTGATCCATGGGGTGCCTTGCGATCCCGTGCCAGGCTGGTAGGCTTCTTTTGCTGCGTCTGCCGAAGTCGAGGATTTTTGGTTCAAATTTGTCTGCGTCAGATGTCCTGCTTCGCGGTTTGAAGACTTCACGGTTTCAATCCACTTCCCCAAATCTGTTATCTCGAGCAGGAGGCATTCTCGATAGAAATTACACTGGATTGCAATCTCTGAGATGCAGCAGCAGCGTTTCGAGTAGTCCGAGTACTGCAGGCAGTTTGAACACCAGGAAGGAGAGGAGAGGCCGGATCGAGAGGCCTGAGAAGGCGGCAATCACTATAGAACCTTCTGGACCCCGTAATGATTCCTTCCTAGCAGATGACAATGTCACCTGGGAGTCACTGAATCTTTCATCAGAACTGTCCGATGCATTGACGCGTGCCAACTTTATGCGCCCTTCGCTCGTTCAGGTATGATTTGTTCAGTCTCGCTTATGACACAATTATTTTAATACGGTTCAAACTCCCAGAATAGTCAGGATTTAAGTGATGGTATGTGAATTCTCAAGTCTTTTTCCCGGTACATTTATATACAGACCTTCGAACGCAGCTGGTACTAGTTCGTTCAATCTGTTGGGAATTCTAAGGACTATGATTTGTATTACAATCTTCTGCGCAAGGCAATTCCTCTCTTTACCACTCTTTGCCTCTTTCTACATGTTTCTTATGAAACAACGGGCTTTTAAGCAGTTCAGGTTCACCCTTTTCAACGATCAAATTGCGATGGTTTAATCACACTTAGCGCAATGTCAAGATCTGCACGTGTAATGATACACAGGCCCGTAATGCATGGGATGAGCCCAAGACAGGGCATTGAATTTTGTCGAAGGTTTTTGGTCGCGTCGGAGCTAACAAGCGATTGCTCTTGCAGGCATCCAGTATTCCAGCCATTTTGAGCGGTCAAGATGTAATTGTAGCCGCAGAGACAGGTAGCGGAAAGACGCACGCGTACTTGGCCCCTCTGTTCGATATGATGCTGAAGAAGCGCAGGGAGGCTGACGAGGCCAAGGAGAAGAGCAGCCCTCGCCGCTTCTCGTTAGTGCTGTGCCCTAATGCAACTCTATGTCAGCAAGTTGTAGATATGGCAAATATGCTTCAAGACCGTGAAGGATTGGCCATGTTGGACGTAGTTGCTATCTGCGGGGGACAGGTGCTTGACGAGAGCTTTTAAAGTCAAAGTCATGTACCTCAGTGCTGAATATTCCCACATTCTATTCGTTTGGTCCCTTCAAGCATTCTGGTCCATAGGAATCGATAACTTCGAACAAGTGGCTGGCTCCCAGCCTTCCACTGCAACATATGTGACTCTGAATGGAACAGTAGGCTCATAGCCCACACGCGTGGGTATTTTTTTCATGTCGTGTAATTTTTACAATCTCCAGGGTGCGAGGCTGCATAATTTGCGTGAGTTCTTCTGTCTTTTTCATTGAAAGTGTTCTCACTTCCCGCAGGGCTGGCCAATGAAACCACCGGACGTTGTAGTTGCTACACCAGCTGCCGTGCTAAATCATCTCTTTGCGTATGATCCACGGAGACGTCGACGGAAAGCTTTCGTCCGAGATGCCTGTTGTGTGGTAATTATCATCTTCGATCTTCTTTTGTCGACTAACTTGAGCATTCACTGTCGTGATCAGAAGATCCGAATAGATTCTTGCAAGTGACACATTCAGTAATTCCGGCGTAGTGTACATCGGTCAGACAAGTGGCTGAAGCGGTCAGACAAGTGGGAAGAATCTAACAATATGGACAGGTTTTTGATGAGGCAGATATGCTCTTGAGTGGAGGTTTTGCACGAGATTTGGATCATTTGCTCAGTCTCTTTCGGCTAGAGGAAAGACAGCTGGCAAAAATCTATCAGTTTGGCCCCGTTATATCTCAACAGAAATTGGAACCTTGGACCGAGTTTAGGGGGCAAGAGGTCGACGCCAGCGACGGAGATTCTTCTGAGGACGAGGAAGAAGATATAAGGGCCATAGACGAAGACTCAGTATTGACTCCAGAACATTCTGAAAGTCGAATTGATCAAAGCAGTGTCAACGAGGACAGCAGGAGCTACTGGCAAAGTAAACGCACATTCAAGAGGAGTAAACAGTACATTTTTGTTGCTGCCACGCTTCCTGACAATGGGAAGAAAACTCCCGGTGCCCTGCTCAAGCGAATATTTCCTGAAGCACAGTGGGTTAATGGAAGCTTATTGCACTGCCACAGTCCCAGGTGGAAATTCACCTCTATATATATGATCCTGAGCTATGAATCTTTCTCGCTTCAAAGTTTCTTACGAAGAAGGCTCGGGAAATATGCCCACAAGATATTAGATAGTCCTGAAGTCGTGGATGATATTATATTCTTTTCTCACATCATCGTACTTCACGGAAACTCGATGTACTTTGCAGCACTGACTAAGGTCGCTCATTGTCAATAAACAGAATACAACACAGATGGGTTGAAGTTACCGATGAAACAAGGATCAAGAACCTTATAGAAGCTGTTTCGGAAAGTGGGAAAAGCGACGGGGACCAAGATTCTGGCACCATGCGCACTATGGTGTTTGCGAATAGTGTCGATGCTGTGGATGCGATCTCCAGGATTCTAAGCAAGGCTGGTATCAAGTCCCTTTCATACCATCGAGAAGTCCTTTTGGAAGAGCGTACTGAGATTTTAAGAAGTTTTCAGCATGAAGGAGGGTTGTTGCTGTGTACCGATGCTGCTGCTCGTGGTATAGATATTCCCAACATCGGTCACATCGTTCAGGTAGTTATAAAGGACCACCACGGGGCCTCTTGTTTGACTTCTCAGTTTACTTAACCGTCCCCTGTTGAGGTTCTCTATCCTTGATCACACGTTTGTTGTTTGAATTGCACGTAGAGGCAGTTTTATTTGACCCACTTAGTCGGAACGATATGAAGACCTGTTTTTGTTTCCTCGCTTCCACTTTTTCCACGCCCAGGCTACCTTGAAGTTTTCCACTAATCAAAGTCAAGGTCTCTGTTATGTGCTGAAATCACTAGGAGTTTGTTCAAAGGTTTGATTTTGTTACACATATCTGCTCTAGGCATATGCTTATTACCCAACCTTTGGGATCACTTTAGTATTGAACTTTACGGTCTTCTTAATCTTTCTTATACCTCTGTATGTACCTTTCTCTTGCTTTGAAAGTGCTTAAACCCTTGTCACATTTACTCACTCTTTTCTTGAAAATTATCACTAACTCTCTTTCACTTGTTCAAACTTCACGAACTGTGTTCCGTGAACTCACGTCCAGTCAGATTCGAAGAATGACGCCTTTTTTGGGATTTGTTTTGCAATCACAGGCCGAGTTTGCTTCATCAGTTGTGGACTTTCTACACAGAGTTGGCCGTACAGGAAGGGCAGGTCAAACGGGGATGGTTACGAACTTTTACACTGAAGCTAATCTTCCGCTTGTGGAAGCTGTTAAGAATGCGCTGACTGAGAAGCAAACCGTGGTAAGAAAGTTGCCCTAGTTTTGGATATTTTTACCACTTTTATCAACACTAGCTGAAGATTTTGAGTTGACCGGTCAATTGTGTTGTAAATAGGAGGGAGCTTTCAGCCGGAAGAGGAGTTTTCGAAATAAGCTGAAGAAATACGGAAGTGAGCGAAGAGGTAAAAGCACGACTTTCTTGGCCTTATGCTAAAGCGATCTTCAAATCCGTTGTTGTTGAGGAAACGAACTTTACTTCGCATCGCGTATGCCTTTTAAAATTGTAATAATCTCCACTTGCGGTACGTGTTAGGTATGTGTTAAAGTGACTGTGGTGGGATTTCAGGGAAGCCACGCGATGCAGTTGAAGCGGATTGAGATACCTACTCCTTGCACTGTACATTAAGCGTGCTGCGAGTGACCCTTCGGGGCGTTCATGCCGGAGGTGAAGAATTGCTCTCTTATAGAAGGGAATGGTCCGCTTAACTGCAGCAACACTCACATTAACCGAAGGCTTCAAGCGTTCATACTCAAAAGTTCTGCCTAGAGTGCAGCATTCGAGAGGGGTAGGCGCTGGTACTACCCCGGTGTACATTACTGAAAGATTATTGTCGAATATCGAAAAGAGATTATCTAGTGATGTTTACCTGAATGCCTTTCAGTTCATGGATATCAACCTTAATCCACGGTGGTGGTGATAGGTTCTCTTGCTGGTAATTGTTTTTATCTTCAAGAAGTTTGCACTCGAATCTATCATGGCTTTCAAGAATTATCTCAAAATACAATTTGGCTGTTGAACGACCAAGGAAGAAAATAATTTTTTTTCGAACAATGGGTTTATTTGGTTCGTGAACATTCCAGGCTGGTGGCGATGTGCACTAAATATATAGGTTGATAATGTTGGACCTTTTTTGGTCCTGTAAGCTGGTTTTGGAATCTTTAATCTTTGTCAAATGCCTCTTCTAAGTAGCATGATCTCAACTAAGTTCGCCGTCAGACACTTTCGAACTTTTGTCGAAGTTATATCACACTTGACGAACATAGTCAAACGACTGCCTGAAATGCTACCTTATAGAAGATGATCATGAATAATTACCACATGCAGGTGGTACTCCTTTGTCTTGGGGATGGACGCTGATGTGTTGGGTCACGAAGGACTTGGGTCGCAAGATTGAAACTAGATCGAAATTGTTGAAACCGAATGTACAGGCATACAAGAATCACCTGTCTACGGAACGTTAAAGCTGGTAGTTTCTAGAGATCCGTTGGTGAGGCGAACAAATAGCACAATTTCACATTGGTCAGCAAATACTTTGAAGCGTGACGATTAGACTTCACGTGTCTATTGTTAAACGCCCTATTGACACAATTGCAGTAGTGCTACCAGAATGGGTTTCCCACATAACTGCTGCCCACAGGAATAGAAAGAGAGGTTGTCTCATCTTTCGGATAGAAATTCGTGAGTGAAAATTCATGAAGGTGACGATGCTTGTAGTCGGGTAGATGGAATCAACTAACGTCGTTGTAAAGCTATTCTCAGGAAACATGCCCATTAGTGCTTTAGCATCTGAAATTTGATGTCAGTACATGAGTAGGAGACGCAGTAGATATGAAAATTGAGAGAAAGTCGGTCTAGCTCATCTGAAGATTGGGCCGAGTAAAACAGACTGCAAAGTACTTTGTAAGTAAGTCGGGTTTATTACACCGAGAACAAATGTCCACTTTAAACAATGGAGTTGCTAACACCACCAATCAGCCCAGCAGAGGGAGACACAAAAACTTCCGACTTTGCAGCGAAACGCGATGAGGAGGACGGCTGCCTGTCTGGGTGAAGCTGGCGATTATGTAGAAATTTAATACCTGGGCTAAGTGGGCGCATGCTTACACTTTTCTAGAAAGTGAGTGATGTTTATTCACCAGTGCTACGTTCACTGATTCTATCAAATTTTTAGTAGGTACGTACATTTGACAACATATTGCCCGGAACACCACAAATCAGCCCAAAACGAGCACGATGGAACGGACTTGGCCCTGTCATGGTTCATTCCTTGACCAGGCGGCTCTTTCGCGGTTCCCTTCTCGAGTACGTGGGCTAGCTGGGCGCTAGTGTTGCTAATGTCCTCAATGTGGTCTAGTATGGCCTCATGCCAATGTAGTTCCCTGGAGGATTGTAGCTGCACACGGTGTAAGTTCCTCCCCCGGGACACTTCGAAGATGCACAACCGACCTTCGTCGTAGTCTTCCAGACAACCTGCAGTTGAGAAACAACTAATTACACCTTGCCAGAATTGATAGAAAGTTTATAGAGATACTTTGATCGTGATCAGGGTATGTTCCAAGTCCATGTAATTACAAAGCATTGGGTGGAAGAGGGGATTCGTGTACCTGAGTGTAATGCCCACACATCTCGCCTGCTTTGCAAGTGTTCGATGCGTAGTTGTAGAACGGCTTCTCGTCGACAAAGGCCTTTACTGCATCCAAGGGAGTGCTGCTCCAGCTTGCCCAGTAGATGTTCTCACCGTATGGGCCCATGGAATGCTTCAGCTTACAGTTGTCACGGGCTTGATTGTTGGCCCAATTCTGCGCGTACTTGGCCAGATTCCAGTCCCATGACAAGTTGGGGACTTTGACAGCATTACGAGCTGCATTGTGAGGATCCAAAAACTGTCTATCCCATGTCAGAGCAGCGCTTGCTATGCCAGCAGAGGCAAGCAGAAGGAGCAAAACTGCTGTCGAGCTTGAGTCCATCACTGCCATTCTGAAGAATCTGATTCTCCTGCTCTGCTACGTCTTCTCTTCTGATGATCCAAACAGAGGAGGCGATGTTGCCAGTAATCCGAGCTATACGTCTTATAGCTTCACCAGCAGGCTCCTCATATCTCGGCCTTTCACGTGAAAATTCAAGTGGCATATTGGTCGGAGAACTGTAGACGAGAAGAGGATCCCAAGACTCCGAGTCCGGAGGTCTTGCGCCGTTTCGAGCTGTCGTGCGAGGAAGTGGCTCGTGTCCGAAATAGGCTCCCCGCGAGAAGGGGGCATCAGGGGGCATCAGATTCTGGAACGCCGAAGACCGGATGCTGGTCAACTGCAGATCGTGCATGCATGGCAAGCGATACCGGAAGTTCGACATTTTTTCCAATTTGTTTTCTCTCGACGGTTTGCCTCTTCTCGACAACTGCTCTGAAAATAGTTTTTGCATCAGACTTTCTGCTCATGATCGATCTTCGCATCTGCCGAAGGAATGGACTACTATTGGGCCAATCCTGCCTATTCCATAGGCTGCTCTCCAATTTTCCTGCACGAGGCCGATCAATCGGCACCTCGGTTGCTAGCGACCCGCGTGTGAGGGCTCGTCAACTGACATGCCTTGATTCCAGCTTCTTTACCCCTGCATGAAGGCTTGCGGCCTTCAGAACCCTTCTCCTTCTTATCCACATTAGTCGGGCATCTTGGAGACCATCTCTGAAAGCTAGGGACGGTCAACCGCGAGGAATCGTGTTCAGCATTCTCACCGACAAGTGACTGGACCATGGCGTGGGGTGCTCTATTGTTCAGATTGACAATGCAGACTGGGCCTATGTTGATACAAGCCACGATGGTAACTGTGGCGAACGTAGAGTCGATAGCAGCAAGCTGAAGATCATGCGCACAAACACAGAGGATGAGGAGTTTTGCTTGCAACTAGTACCTGCTACTGGGAAGCCTGATGCCTTGGCAGATTTCGTGTGGGTTTAACGGACTCGTGACTGTTTGATTGAGTCATGTGATGTGCTAGCACGAAGCTTGGGGGAGGGGGTCTGGGGGCTGTGTCGAGGAAATCACTTACTGCGTTTGGAGCCGGTTGATCTGAGACTTATGACAGATCGTGAGATGAGACAGGTTTGTGACGGCGCATCTTCTGAGGAATGTCGACACGTGATAAACCTCGGGTTCGACAGTCTCGATATAACCATTTCGCATCCATGTAAGTTTTATCCAGAGCAACACTTGCAGAGCTCGGGGACGGAATGAGTTTCTCACAAGTCGTCGATCGATCGATGAATTTTCATGTATTTGTGTTGTGTCGTATTCGAGGTTTTGAAGATCTCTAATTGAAATTGGCGGGTATGTGTAAATGTAAAAGGTATTTCAAACATCCGATGAAGCTCATTTGCTCAAAGTCAATTGAAATGTGTACATGAATGCTCCACAAAGAAGTCTTAAATGCTTAAAAACACAAAACGTCACAACCAGAGTTGCGAGATATATTACGAGTTTTGTTGGATTCAGAATTGCAACGGGATTGTATGGGTCGCTGGTGAGTATCCAAATTGCACCGCTCTAAATTTGAAGAAACTATAATCGATTGACTTCTCAATCCTGTATTGCATGTTACTTGATGTGCTAAGACTGTGAATCAATCCAAGAAACCAATACGCTACCAAAACTCATTTAAATTGCATCCTAATATTTGGCTTCAATTTATCTTGAATGCATAACAAAGAGCTCTGAGATTGACTTTTACTGTGTAAAATATGGGAAACCTTGCTCGTACCGAATTTTTCAGGTTATGAAATTTAACATGTTGGTCCTCGCATTCTTGTAGTCGCAATCTCCGCTCTCTATCGTCGTTTGAGATAATTTCTATTTTGCGATATTAGATGCTGAAGCGCTAAACGCCTGTGAATATATTGTGAGTACCTCGACTGGTTTACCCCGTCATTCTTTACAGCCCACTATCCTGAAACCCATATACTTGATTTTCCTGTCAGTACGAACATGAGGCAACGAGAGATGGAAGCATACTTCCAAAGGAATGATGGAATTGCAAGAACCAGCAATTCCATCATTCCTTTCGTCACATCTTGTTCGGGTTCTGTAAAACATAGCTTTATGTGAGTTCTGTTCCAGTGTTGCAGAAAAATCTGAGTTTCTATCATGACGCAGAATACCAATCAACCAGTGGGCAAAAATGCAACGATTGTCAAAGGATTCAGTAGAACAACATTTGTATCTTTACTGCCACATTTCCTGCCACAATCACATTGACTTTCCTCAGCTTTGTCTAATTGGAAATCAACAATCCAGTGGCGGAGATCGAACGAAGGGTCCGTCGTATTTCCAGCTGTTGTTAGATTCCGACATGGGATACGAAGAATTGGCTTTGAAGCATGCACTAGTATCTGTGGTTTCTTTTTGTCTCTTTTGTCCTGCACATACCATGATAAACATGGACATCACAGTAAACATTTCTCAGAAATACCTTAATCAATTCAAGAGAAGTGTAACACAGTGTGGACTAAAAGCGGTGGAAAGGGACCAAATGGGCAGCTGGAAGCCTTATCAATATTCTCAATGACGATTTCATCCTTCGAGTCTTGCGAGAAGTGCTGAAGAGTTCAAACTTTTAGTACAGAAAGAAAAAAATGTCGCTTTTTAAGAAGGGTTGGCAATATTGAATTAGTATTTAAAGATCTTTAAACGTTCACCATTCTAGTAGAGAGTGTACTCGATATAAGCACTTTGTAAATGAGAATTAAATTTACTATGCTTTGCGGTATATAGTGAATATAATCAATAGGGTTGTTATCTGTAAGATCTCAGTTTTATAGTTTCTCCACCTCTCTATTGTAATCCAGGGTTAGAGTTTTATGTGTCCTACAATTATTTTAGAAGGCTAGGGTTTTATCTGCTAAGGAACCAGGAACTCAGTTCTATAACTCAACCATCTTGAGAGATGGTAAAAACGTTTTGTTTCTTGATCCCGCAGGTTATCAAAGATCACGTTAAGTTCCTACAAGAACAATTGGAGCACTAATCCAGTCTCAAGAGGGCCTTGACACCTACCTAAGATCAAATTTTCAAGCATGTATCTGACCATAACGAAATTCCAATGCATTAATTACCAAGTCAATAATTGTACTTTTTATCTCAAGAAACACTAAATATTCCACAAAAAGAAACAAATGAATATTGTAGAACTCCTCACAAATCTTCACGGCTGATGCCTTCCTCTCCTTTCCAATCACTTTGACAAAAATCTCTAATTTCTTGTCCACTTGTCATACATGATATCAGGCCTTGAATATATATTTCCTACACGCCAACCCCTTTGACAGAAAGCTTTTATAGACTCTCTTGAACCACTTTCCACAAGCTCATAGAGGTACGACGTGCTTATCACAACTTCACTAAAAAGAATGCAACCACAGTGGATAAGACTTACCCCTACTTCTCCAACATACCTATTAGAGGGTGAGATCTTGGGCGCTTCTTGCTTCCACCTTCTGCCTCCACAATGCCGGTTTGAAGGGCTTGCCAACGTTAGAGCACATATGAACTGCATTCGTCTTGCGAAGGCCCAAATCTTCTCATTCTGAAGCATACTTTTCTGCTCAAAAGACCAACCTTTCACCAGACTTCTTCCGCGGATGCTTCTGCTTGTTTTACTTATGTCGTCAAATATGCAAAGGATGTGGATATTCTACATTGAATTTGATGATAGTTCCTCAAATCTTGACGAGAATACACCACTCCCTGGTTTTGTAAGTAGACTCATGTGAGTATATGTATATAACATGATATGGAGATTTTGATACTGCGATCTCATTTGCAGTTGCAAGGGTTGCATGAGCATTTGTCACCGCACTTGCATCCTTCGTTGGCGCCCTCAAAACTGAAAAGCTGTAAAGGAAGATGAAATTCATGATTAGAAACTGATAAATCGTCCCAGGATCCAAGACGTCGTGGTCGTTGAAAAAAATGTTGTTGTGGTATATTCATGTTCCGCCAATGAGTGAAGGAGACTAACAGAAGGTTTAGAAATTTATCAAGCATGAATTGCAAAGATATGGAAACGGACGGGCGGATAAATAGTCTCTCATCTCGGAGTTCGCGAATGTGTCCATGGACTTCATGGGGCAGTAGCAAGCAAAGTCAGCAGCAAACCAAAATTCAGAAAGAATTGAGAGGCATCTTTGTTCCAAGTTAAGATGACATCTCTAATAGACAAACCACAGTCTTATTATTTTACAATTTTTGATTAGCATGATACATATTGAAGTCATGATATTTGGCTAAAGATTGAAGATATTTCTGCAGAATGCGGATGGAAAAAGTTCAGAAGTTCTACTTTATCAACTTCGAATGCGTCAACAATTATGGGACCTCAACATATGCTCCTGTCAAATACGAGAAGCAAAACTTTCGCGAATGACAGATAAATACAGACAGCTGCACTATGGGAATCTATTTCTTCCTCGCATCTAGGATTTAAAACCAGGACTTGAACTGACCTGTTGCCAGTGCTGCACTTGCAACGCCGCATGAACAAGCAGAGCTCCCGCAGCCAGACATCTTGAAATGGTTGAGAGAAGAAAGTAGTGCTTGGCTATACCACGGACGGAGGAATGAGTGGAATGGAATGAAAGAGATGTGAAATTCAGGATGTTCCAGAGCAATGAGTTGTGCTGCTGAAGAATCCACAGGCATCAGCTTCTTTATGTAGTGATTGCCTCTAACCACAAGAGCTTCAACAGCACGTGCTGAGGAAACAATTCACAGAGCATTCTACGTCCTTGCTTATGCCTGAGAACTGGCGGCTCTGTTACGGCCACTAAACAGCGTTTGGATCTCATCGAAGAAGCCCGAAATGAATGTTCAAAATTGTTACACTGAGACTTAATCTCCACCCCTTCAGCTTAAAAAAGGCACTGACCTGAATAGAGTTCAGATCTTGTGAGCTGAGACAAGGGCCGCATTAATTACTTATATGAAGACTGCACGATGCTCTCGATGCATTCTGACGCAATAACAAGCACGTCCTTCAAAGC